CCGCAGGAGGCTGAGAGTTCCACACTCTAACCTTGGCCTTCCAGGTCATTATGACAGACTACTTGTCTAGGTAGGGGGTTAGGACATAGTCACTTGACTTATAACTCAGAAATATTTAGATACATGGTATGTGACCATACGTTAGGGACACATTGTGTGTGTGTGTGTGTGTGTGTGTGTAATTCTAAAATTCAACTGGTATAATGATTATGAGGGAGAAATGTTTTCTTCGAGTCCTTTGCCATTCTTCAGTCAGGTTATTGTGTTGTTTTTGCTGTTGAGTTGTAGGACTTCCTTGTATGTCTTGGCTATTAATTTCTTATCAGGTATATGGTTTACAAATATTTTCTTCCACTCCATAGGTTGCCTTTTCGCTTTCTTGAGTGTTTCCTTTGCCGTGCAGAAGCCTTTAGTTTCACGTAGTCCACTTGTTTATTTGTGCTTCTGTTGAGTGTGTTTTTTGGTGTCACATCCATTATTTCATTGCCAAGACCAGAATTTAAAAATGGGCAAATGCATTGAATAGACATTTCTCCAGAGAAGACATACAAATGGACAAGAGATATATGAAAAGATGCTTAGTGTCACTAATCATCAGGTAAATGCGAATCAAAACCACAGTGAAAGATCACTGCATGCCCATTAGGATGACTGTTATAAAACTAGTGTTGGCAAGGATGTGGAGGGATTGGGACCCTTGTTTGTACTCTGTTCGTGAAAACGTCAAAAGGTGCTGCTGCTATGGAAAAAGAGTATGGAGTCTCCTCAAAAAAAACACACAAAAAACTACTATGTGGTCCAGCCATCCCAGCATTGAAATCACAGACACGGAACCTGCACTCCCATGCTCTTTGCAGCAGTATTTACAATGGCCAAGATACAGAAACAACCCGAAATGTCCACAGACGAATGGATGAAGAAAATGTGTATATATACAAAATGAAATATTACTCAGCCTTAAAAAAGGAAATCCTGCCATTTTTGACACCATGGATGAACCTAGAGGACATTATGCCGAGTGAAATCGCAGAAGAGCCAGTACTGCATCATTCCCCTTCTATGAGGGATCGAAGATTATCCCACTCACAGACGCAGAGAATAGAATGGTGGCTGCTAGGGGCTGGGGGCGGAGGAGAAAAATGGGAACTTTTTGTTCAATTGGTATAAAGTTTCAGTTATACAACATGAGCACTTACTAGTCTCCTGCCATGTAACACGAGTAACAACACCGTATTGTGCCCTTGGAGACTCAGTGAACACCGAGTTCCTGCTGATACCACGTCGGCTTCTGGAACACCGTCCCAGGGCCCCTGCTGTCGGGGCGGTTCCCCCCTGGTGTGTGCCTGGGTTGCAACATGACCGAGGTCCAGGGGAAAGCGCCTCCACCTTGTTCGTTACTTCTTCTTCTCACTTTCCGCTGTCCTTGTGACAAAGTACTAGGTGCTCCGTGACGTTAAAGGAGCTGGCTGGAAGCGTGCAGGCTTGTTCTTCATGAGAATTTGTTTCTTTTCCCAGCTCCTCCATTTACAAAAGTAAGCAAGATGTGTGCAAAATAGCTTGAGGCCTCTAGAAACTAGCACAAGGTGGTCTCATTAATCTTAGCTGTTTTTGCATGACTTTACCTTTTCTTATTTTATGGCAACTGAAGTTCTCAATTACCAGACCACACTCTGCAAGCTTCTCTCACGTGCTAATAAAAAGCAAAATATGGCCATATTGGGGACGTCCTTGGGGAACACGTCCTGGGTCAGGAAAAGTCGTTAAGCTCTGGGGTCTTAAAGGAGCCTGGGAAAGTCCACCCAGACACTGTGGGGTTGGGTGTGTTGTCTATTCAAAACCAGAACTGGGCCTTGAAAGTTCGATGATGCCTTGGCTTATTAAAGCCACAAAATGCGAATTAAAATTTTCAGATCATTAGTTTTACAAGAGCATTCACACATGAGTCCGTGTTGGACATGAGCAGAGGAGAAGGGACTGTGGGCAAAGCAGGCACCCACTCACATTGGCAGGGCACACTCGCTTGGGCTGGGACCCGGGTCCGCCCGAGTCACAGCTCCTTCCCCCCCAGCCCTCGCCCTCTCGACCCTCAGGAGAGCCTCGCCCCGTGGGCAACTGCAGGAAACCCTGCCCATCTCGGCGTAGCTTTTCCTGAAGTCCCGGGGTCTGTGGAGGCCGACCTGGCCTCGTGAATGGCTCGGGCACCTCGCGGTTGGCAGCTTTGCGTGAACTGCGGTCGGAGTGTCGAGTGAGCCCCGTGTGGTATCTAGCAACTGCAGGCAGGAGGGCCGTGGGGTGGCCGCCCGCGCAGCCCTGGGGTGGGGGTGGGGAAGGACCCTCACTTTCTAAGGAATAACTCCACCTTCGTTGTGTTATGTGAAAAAAGAAACCTCAGCTGGCTCAATCTGGAGGCTATTAAATTCCTAGAAACAGGTCAGAAAGTGGCCTGTTGGGCTGGCAAGATGCAAATGCCGAGGCCTTTGAAGAGCGTTTCCTGCCTGCCTCGGTGCTTACAGGCCCGGTCCCAGCGGAGTGGGTGGAGGGAGGGGCCGAAAGCTGGGCCTCCCCTGTGGCCTTCGCCGCCGTCGCCGAAGTGAGGATCCTCCCACTCCGCGGGGATCCTCAAGGGCACTCCCTCATTCTCAGTTGAGCTGGACTTGAGTCCATAGGCCAGGTCAAAAAATACAAAGGTTCTCTCCTGGAGAGCGAGGTGGTGGCTCTCCGGGAGGACGCAGCACCCCATCCCCCGCCACCCCCCACAAAGGGCATTCCCTTTGAAGAAAAACACACCAGGCTCCTGGAAGGTGACACAATAAGCATCCTGAGGAAATAGCCGCTCTAAGTGGCTTCTGAGCTGCATTTCCCTAAGGAAATAATCAGCACCTCTTCCCCCAGACAGCTCCAGGTGAGCGAGTGAGGAAGGGAACGCCTTCGTGTTCCCAAAAGTAAAGGCGTTGGCATAACTGTCCACTGGTGACGAAGCGCGCTCTCATCTATCGCCGTTCGTAATTCTCGGTCGGGAGGTGTGATTTCCCCCGGGGGCGCTTGCTCACTCTTCCAGCAGTCCAGCAGGACGGACTTGGGGAGCCTCTCTGCCCTTGAGCCCTGTGATCGCCCTGCGGCACCAGAGGTCTCCCGAGTAAGCCCATCCGCTGTAGAGGCCACATGGCCTCATTGTCTTCCGTAGGGGTCTGGCTGCGCGGATGTTAGACGTCTTGGGGAACCGCGCCCCGGCTGCTCTGCGGCTTGTCGCCAGACCAGGAGTAGGGGGCGCAGCAAGTTCGGTGACGCCAGAACAAAGGAATGGAGCCCGCGCGGGCTCGAGAGGGCATCTCCGGGTCTACGCGGATGGGGACCGAGCAGAGAGGGGGCCCAGCGGCAGGCTGGAGGCAGCGTCTCAGCCCCGGCCTGCCCCTCAAAAGCCGCCTTTCTTCTTGCAGTCTCTTGGAGCGGCCCCCGGGACATCCAGGAGGGGGCGCAGCTAGCTGTCCCTGTCCGCTTGTCCTGTCGCACCTTCTCTCTACCGTTGCCCCCACCCGAGAAGTGCACAAAGAACGGTGCGCAGCGAGCGCTCACCTCCCATCGGGGTGGGGCCACCGGCAGGGCTGGTGCGCTCCGCGGTGCCCGCCTTAAAGGACCCCCCCCATTCCTCCTGACCATTGCGCATGCCCGACCGGCCGTGGGGCGGGGAGGGACCGAAGACCGGGCGCGCGCCCCGCGTCTCTGGCTGGTGCTATGGCCGGCGTTCCCTTGGTGGAGGCGCTCGTGCGCGCCTCAGCGCACGCGGGGTCCTGGCCGGTACGCGGGACTGGTGCAGGACCTCGGCATGGTGCCTTCCGGAGGTTGCTGGAGGCTGGGTGGGCCAGACCCTGGCTGCGGCCAGATTCTGGCTTTCTGATCCACAATTTCAGAGCCAGTTGGGTGAAGTCCTGCCCAAGAATACGGGATTGCGGGCGCGCGCGCAGGCGCGCGCGAGTGGTGATGCGACCGAGTGGATGCCTTTGTGTCTTATGCGCTCTCGCGCAGGTGGGCACCCTGCTCCTGGAGACACTTTGTCCGCGTACACCAGTACCTCGAGTCCTGCTTTCCGAGTTCGAGGGCTCGGACCGCCCTTTTGGGCACACAATAGACCCTTCTCGCAGTCGCACCTTTGGTTCTAGGGGTGGCTTATTTGGGGGACACTAACGGGACTTTCTAAGGACCGCTCTTTTAGAGCCGGGCATCAGAGTTGCACCCGTTTTCTCTTCTCGGTCAGGAAAAAGAAGAGACCTGGGGACAGCGGCTGTCCCCCACTGATACAAGCGAGTGTCCCGAGGCTGCGGGTCCCGCATTAGACAACAAAGAGAGGCGTTAGCGGCGGTGGGGGCGGGGCGCGGCCGGCGGGAGGACGGGCGGGCTGCGGCGAGCAGGGGTTGGGGGCGCTCGCGTTCCGCTCAGCCTGCGGCCTCCGCCCGCCCCCGGCCCTGCGCGCGCCAATCGCCTCCCCCAGCGATAGTGTCAGTAGCATTGTAGTGTCAGCTCCCGCCGGTGACGTTGCGCCTCCCTCGTCCCCCTCCAGAGCCGTCTGGCTGCGGAGGCTCAGTCAAGAGGCGGGGAGCAGAGAAGGAAAAAGCGCTGAGTGAGGGCGGGCGGGAGGGAGGGAGTGGAGGAGCCGGGGAGGGGCTCCTTAAAGAAACGCTGCTGTCGCTCGCCTGCTCGCCTCTCTCTCGGCATTGTGGCCAGCCAGCCGGGCACTCGGGGGGCGCGCGCGGCTGCCACTCGAGTTCTGCCCCCGCCCCACCCGCCAGCAGACCTGGGGTGGGGACCCAGGCCGGGGCTCCCGCAGCCACTGCTCAGCGGAGACCGCACGGAGCGACCCACTCCTTCCGGCGCCGAGAGAGAAGCCACGGAACCCTCTGCAGCCGGCCGGCCTCCCCGCCCCTGACCGCTCGCTTCCCGGCTGCCTTTGTGGCCCTAGCTTCTGAGCCGAGGGCCGGCGGGGGCGCGGAGCGCACAGCGGAACGATGCCCAGCTCGCTGTTTGCAGACCTGGAGCGAAACGGCAGCGGAGGGGGAGGCGGCGGCGGCGGCGGGGTTGGCGGCGGCGGCGGCGGGGGAGAGACCCTGGACGACCAAAGAGCCCTACAGCTCGCTCTGGACCAGCTCTCCCTCCTGGGGCTGGACAGTGATGAGGGCGCCTCTCTGTACGACAGCGAGCCCCGCAAGAAGAGCGTGAATATGACCGAGTGCGTGCCGGTGCCCAGTTCGGAGCATGTTGCTGAGATCGTGGGGCGGCAAGGTGGGTCCGGCAAGGATGGGGAGCTGGAGCAGAGCGGGTCTCCGGCCACCGCCCCGCGGGGAGGGCGCGAAAGGAATCGGGAGCCGGGAGCTTTGGGGAGGGAGGAAGAGCGGCGCGAAGGGCCGGAGCCCCAGACAAAGAAAGTGCAGGCAGGCTGTCTCCCAGACCCACGCTGCGGCCACGGCGGGATGCACTTCTTCTGCTGAAACCCCTGTCCTCTCCCCTGGCGCCCCCCACCCCACCTACCTCGGGAAATATCATTTAAATAGAAGATGCTTGGGGGAGGGGGCCTTTGATCGGTCCACTGGGAGGGGGAGGAGGAGGAGTGAGCATCGGATGGAGGAGGATTCTGGATTTCTGCAGAGCATAATGGAGCCCAGAGGAGGAACAATGGGTCCCGGGACTGCCCCCCTTCCCAGCGGTCCCCCAGCGCTGGGGGATCGCAGCTCCGACTGCCTTCCCAGAACCCCTCCGCCGCGTCTTCAGGGCTGACGGCGTGTCCCGCTGGATTTAGAGGCGTCTCCCCCGCTGACTTTTCCTGGGATTCTGGGGTTTGGCTCCGGGCGACTGCAGTCACCGGGGAAGGGCTGGGCTGTTCCTCGAGCGCTTCGCGGGTGGAACCCCCTTCCCTCCCGGGCTGGGGTCAGGGTGGGAGCCGCCCCCTTTCTGTCCCTCGAGTGTCCAGCCGCACAGCTGTCCTGGACACGGGCTGTCCCAAGTGTCCTGGCTTATCCCGGGGTAATGGGCGTGTCTGTCTCTCTCTCCCACTCCTTCCCCTGCACCCTGGCTCCCAGGTTGTAAAATTAAAGCGTTGCGGGCGAAGACCAACACTTACATCAAGACCCCGGTTCGCGGGGAGGAGCCTGTCTTTGTTGTGACGGGCAGGAAGGAGGATGTGGCCATGGCTCGGAGGGAGATCATCTCTGCTGCCGAGCACTTCTCCATGATCCGCGCCTCGCGGAATAAGAACACGGCGCTCAACGGCGCGGTGCCGGGCCCACCCAACCTGCCCGGGCAGACCACCATCCAGGTGCGGGTGCCCTACCGCGTGGTGGGACTCGTGGTGGGGCCCAAAGGCGCAACGATCAAGCGCATCCAGCAGCAGACGCACACGTACATAGTGACGCCCAGCCGCGACAAGGAGCCGGTGTTCGAGGTGACCGGCATGCCTGAGAACGTGGACCGCGCTCGGGAGGAGATCGAGGCGCACATCGCCCTGCGCACGGGCGGCATCATCGAGCTGACAGACGAGAACGACTTCCACGCTAACGGCACGGATGTGGGCTTCGATCTGCTTCACGGGTCCGGCGGGTCCGGCCCGGGCAGCCTCTGGAGCAAGCCTACCCCCAGCATCACGCCCACCCCGGGCCGCAAGCCCTTCTCCAGCTACCGCAACGACAGCTCCAGCTCTCTCGGCAGCGCCTCCACCGACTCCTACTTCGGCGGGGGCACCGGCGGCAGTGCAGCGGCCACCCCTCGCTTGGCGGACTACAGTCCCCCCAGCCCTGCGCTCAGCTTTGCCCACAACGGAAACAACAACAACGGCAATGGATACGCCTACACTGCCGGGGAGGCTTCCGTGCCTTCCCCCGACGGCTGTGCGGAGCTGCAGCCCACCTTCGACCCGGCTCCCGCCCCCCCGCCCGGGGCGCCCCTTCTCTGGGCCCAGTTCGAGCGGTCCCCGGGAGGCGGCCCTGCAGCTCCCGTGTCGTCGTCCTGCTCTTCCTCCGCGTCTTCATCAGCTTCGTCCTCTTCCGTGGTCTTTCCCGGGGGCGGCGCCAGCGCGCCCTCCAACGCCAACCTGGGGCTGCTGGTGCACCGCCGGCTGCACCCGGGCACCAGCTGCCCGCGCTTGTCCCCACCCTTGCACATGGCCCCGGTCGCGGGCGAGCACCACCTGGCCCGCAGGGTGCGCAGCGACCCGGGCGGAGGGGGCCTGGCCTACGCGGCCTATGCCAACGGGCTCGGGGCGCAGCTGCCGGGCCTGCAGCCGTCCGACACCTCCGGCTCCTCCTCGTCGTCCAGCTCCTCTTCCAGCTCCTCGTCCTCCTCCTCCGGGTTGCGGCGCAAGGGCAGCCGCGACTGCTCCGTGTGCTTCGAGAGCGAAGTGATCGCCGCGCTGGTGCCCTGCGGTCACAACCTATTCTGCATGGAGTGCGCCAACCGCATCTGCGAGAAGAGCGAGCCCGAGTGCCCTGTCTGCCACACTGCGGTCACGCAAGCCATCCGCATCTTCTCCTGAGGGCAGCGCGCGCTTGCGCGCACCGCGCCGGGCAGGGGGACCCTTCCCCCTCCCGCAGCCCCCAGCGCCTGCTGGCCTCCTTGGTGCCCAACCTTCTCCTCGCCCTGCTCGCACTCTGAGATCCGAGAGGAGCTTGGAAAGCTGTAGTATCCACTCAGTTTTAAAAATTTAATGTTCAAACAAAGGAACTTGCCAGGATAACTGCATCGAGAGTACTGTAGCCTGGGAGACCTCCGAACCGCCTGAAATGCATGCTTTATAACTAATAGGAACGGCGACCTTCTAGTCACGATAGTTTTTACACTGTACTTAATAGGAAGCTTCCGAAAGAAGAAAACCCCACAAGTTTTCCATTTTCTTAAAGTAGGAAAGAAATGAACAGTAATTATTATGAAGATGATAATATAGTGCTATGGGATGTGTGGACTGTTTTCGTTTGTTCCCCTTTGTGGCTGGGTTCCTATGATGCTTGTGCTAGAACACAGTGGGTCCTTCCTGAATGTTCGTGGAAGGGCCAGGAGTTCCTGTGAAACCGGGATACTGCAGCTTTATTAAAGTTAAAGAAACTGTAACATATCTCTTATATATTAAAAACGTTTAAAAGTTTTAAAGAGAAATTGCATTAATACAGATTGAAGTATTTTATTCTTTTTTGACTTGAAAAATTATATTTCATATTGCAAAGATGTTTACAAGTATTTTAATTTAAGTTCAGTGAACTTTTTTGTAGCTGGGTTAAATCTTTTTATTTTAGTATGGCCTTACGGCAAAGAACACTGTATTATTTTAATAATCACACAATTGTGACGGAATTACAAACCATAAAATGTGTAATGTTTTGAACAGTATTCTGTTGGGATGGAGATTTTATAGGTTCAGACAAATCTTCTAGATCTGCTTCACCCAGCATATTTTCTATTCAGTGATATAAAGCATATTTTATTCTATATTATTACAAAAAAAAACGGAAATGTATAAACATGTCAAAAGGGACTGTTGATGCTTTCTAACATTTGTATAAATAGAATTCAGTGCAAGTTACAAAAATTCTGTTGCACCACTATAGTTTTAGTATTTCTATTTTAATAAACATTTGTTTACCACTTGTTTATGTATATGTAGGTGACGTTACTTGAGCTTAAATGTACTTTACTGAGCAAAGTTTAAAAAACAAAGTATATTTTATTTTATGATAAAGGGCCTTTAACCTCATGGTCAAATACTAATATTATATTTGCTGAGACAAGATTTGAAATTGTATCAAGAGTTTTATTTTTCTGACATTTAAAGTTCTACATAATAAAGGTAAAACTTAAGTAATGGTGCTACTTCATTTTTTAAGTATTTCTATATAAATAAAATATTGAAGAAAATCTATATTGTGTGGTGACTTGATTTTTTATTTAAGCGTCTTGGTGTGCCTGTACACAGAACAACTCTTATGTGACAAGTTGAAACATCTAATTTCCAGGCATACTATGTTAGTAATTTTATCAATAGAATGGACTTTTCAAAGAGGCCAGAGTTGGGTTTGGTTGGACCTATGGGCCATGGGTTAACAGTATTTTAAAAGTTGCAAGTTTCTACTGAACCAGGGCTGGCTTCTCCAGAGTGGGCACGGTGCCTGGGGCCCATGAGACTTCCCAGGGGCCCAGGAAAACTCTGAATTTCTTTTAAAAATTAAAAGGAAAAAATCCCAATGGAAATGTTTTCCTTTCCAGGCCTGCACAAACCTATTAAAATTTGCCTAAAACGTTAAAAGAAATAAAATATTAGAAGTATTTCAAGTTACACCAAAAATAAATTTTGAGATGAATATGCTAGAGGCAGGCGTTGAGGAAAGCAAAACAGCCTGGGATTCAGGAAAAGCCATAGCCCTGCCCAGCCGGCGCCCCTAAGAGTGGAGGGGGCCTAAGGGCTGTGTTGGCTGTGAGTTCCCGCTAAGGGTCACTCCTTGGGGGATGGCTCTGGGGGGGGGGGGGGGGGGACAGTTGCTGAGCTGGATTTGAGCTCTGTCTGAATAGGCTTCTGCTGGTGGGGCTTGCTAATTGGTGTTGACAAGCTGCCGGTGTTAACTGTTTGCTGCGTGAGAGGAGTTCTTGTTTGCCTTTGGCAGGCTACACCTGCTCCCTGGCCGGAGGGCTTTATCAGGGGGTGGAGCCCCACGCTCTCCCTCGGCCTGATCTCTCGCCTTCCGCAGAGCGCTCAGGAATGGCCGGACCTCTGCATTTCCAGCGAGCTCCCTGGCTGAGCTGCACAGAAAGTGGCAGGCTTCGATTTTAACCTGTGCCGGGGGTGACAGCAGGTCAGTCCAGAGAGAGGCCTGTAATCCGCACTTGTTTTTATTTGTCTGCAGATTGCGCCGCTGCCTGCGCTGTAGCTCCCGATTTTTGTTTAGTTTACAGGGTGTTGTGTGAAGGCAGGACTCAGGCGTTGGGGGTGGGAGGAGGAAAGGGCGTGGCCTCGCTCGGGAAATTTCTGGCATCATCTTCAACTCTGGAAAGTTCCCAGACCATGTTTTCCCCTGTTCTTCTCCCTCCAGGACTGGAGTTTAGCTGAGGTCTGGCAAGGAGCGGGGTCACAGTTGGTTTCCCCCTTTCCGTTTTGGCTGTTCGGAAATGCCTAGAACAGAACCGAGGTTCTTGTTACACTTCCTTCCTCAGCAATGTACCTTCCCTTTGCTGCATTAGCCGCATGGCAGGGGGCAAGGAAACATCAGAAGCCTTGATTGGTTGCCTCATGCAAGGGCTCTTACTTGGGCTTTGCGAAAGGAAAGGAGGTTGGAGTTGGAAGCTGCTGACAAGCCCTCAGGTGGCCTATATTTTTGCTTTGTTGAGAAACAGCATCCCTGTGTTGACATGCAGTTTGGGGATATATTATTAATAAACCCACGTTCTTTGGGAGAGACAGAGTCTTCCTCTTGGTGTCCCCTGCTGGGCAAGCCCGTGTCGCGAATAGAGGATGTGGACACACACTGGTGGTATTGGGGGGCATGAGCTTCTTCTAAAAAATGTATTTATTTTTAGAGAAGAGGGAGAGAAACATCGACGTACAACGGATACGTTAGGTGGCCTCTCGCTCGCTTCCAACTTGGGGCCGGCCCTGCCACCCAGGCCTGTGCCCTGACCGGACTCAGCCTGGTTGCCTTCGGTTCTCAGGCCCATCTCCGTCCGCTGGGCCACCACAGCCAGGGCAGGGGGTCGTTAGCTTTTGACCCAGGGGGAGCCCTTTGTCCCATCCCCCAGCCCCCCCAAAGACAGCCGTCCAGGTAACAGTTCCCTGCTGCAGAGATGAGCGGGGCCCCATTCACGCTCCGTGGTGGCCAGCGGCTTCCCTTTCTGCTGTTGCACCCTCTGACATCCCCTCTCCCACACTGACGTTTCTCTCTTTCTCCCTCCTTTCCCCTCTAAAAATAAATACATAATTTAAAAAAATTTCTGCAGCTACAAAACACCGGCTAACAGGCCCCGCCCTCCCCGGTTACTCTCCCCTGTTCTCTTGGGGACACGGGGGGGGGGGCGGGGGTGCTCTTGCCAACCCCACCCCCTCGATTTGGCAATCTCTGGAGGCCCTTCTGGGTGTGACAACTTGGGGGTCTCACTCCTGGCATCTAAGGGGTGGCGGCCATGGATGCTGCTAAAAACCCTCCAAGACACTGGGTAGAATTATCCAGCCCAGGGTGGAGAGACCCCCATGTAGATAAAGCAGGCCTGTCTTCCCTGCTGTTTACTCAGCGCCTTGAAATTGCTGATGCTGTTCGGACACTTAAAATACATAAAGATCGGCCCTCAGTGGTGGTCTGGAGTTACCCGCTTCCTAGGGGACTTATGCTGCTATCAGAGATTGCGGGGGCACGTGGAAGAGGCGGGGTGGCCAAGGCTCACAGCTGAGCACAGGAGGTCAAAATTATAGAGCTTGTTTTATTTGCCAGAGCGTGGTGGATTGTGCCCAATGAACCACGGTCATGCCTACATGGACCGGTCAAAGCACCTGGTTTCCCATTCTCTCCTGCGGTCCTTTCCACAACCCTAAGGCCAGCACCACTGCGGTGTGACTGTGCCTGTTTGTAGTAAAACCTGAGGGCTCAAAATGCGGTCCCCCCCAAACTCAACCCCGGGTCGCGCTTGGCCTGCCCCGCCGGGCTGCCTGTAGCTATGAGACAAGCGCCTGCCGAAATTGTGGAAATGGGTCTGTGCCGGCAGCTCGTCCCCTGTCCCTGTTCCCTGGGTCCGCTTTATGCTACCAAAACTGACTCTTGGGAGAAGCTTTCTTCTCTCCAGTGAACTTGCAGGCACAAGCGCTCTGGAGCTCCTCTCTCTTCAGCCTCATCTTTCCAAGATACGGAATAACTTTGCCCCTCTGAAGGGAGGGTGGAGCCTCCCCGCCAGCACAATGGTGGCGCATTGTCCTTACAGCTTTGTGGGGGCAAGGTGCCTTGGGGAGAGATGGGATCTGTCCCGGCTGCACTCACTCTTCCTCGCCTTAACGAGAGGATGCTCCCTCCCCGCCTGGGGAGCTAGAGCTCTGCTAGCGCTGAGTCCTGCCTCCCTCCTGTCTCCCTCCCTCCTTCTCCCTCCCTCCCCTGTCCCAGTCAAAACCTGCCCTTGCTTCCTTTACCCACTGGTGATGCTTAAAATGCTAAAGGCCCTTCCCTGCTGGCCGGGGAGGGCAGAGCGTGACTGCCCGGGACACTGAGCCAGCCCTGTGAGTACCAGGGGTGTCCAACTGTGTGGTGTCCCTGGGCCACACTGGAAGAAGAGGAGTTGTTTTAGGCCACACATTAAGTACATGGTGACACATAATCACACACACCAAAAAATCTCATGTTTTCAGTGAATTTACAATGTTGTATTGGGCCGCATTCACCCCCATGCTGAGCTGCTTGCGCCCGTGGGCCACAGGTTGGACACCCCTGTCTCAGAGCTGACTCTCTGGGCGCCCATGGAAGTTCGCTGAGCGCAGCTCTATTTAGGCCCTGGCTCTCCTTCCTGGCCCTGCCT